AACTTGTGTGCGTATTGTCAAACTTGTGTGGTTTATTGTCATTCTTGATTGTGATATATTCTGGCGGTGTCAAACATGAATTCTCACTGTCAAACTTGGTTGTAACTGAGGAAACAAGTGTCAAACATGGATTCTCACTGTCAATCTTGATTGTAACATAGTTGAACTTTGACAAACTTGGATTTTCATTGTCAATCTTGATAGTAACATAATTGAATTTTGACAAACTTGGATTTTCATTGTCAATCTTGATGGCAACATATCTCGATTGTGACATACTTGAATTCTCAAAGTTAAACTTGATTGTGGCAGAAATGAATTGTGACAAACTTGGATTCTCATTGTCACTCTTGATGGTAACATTGTCATTCTTGTCTGCTCACTTGTCAAACTTGCACGGGAAAAGGTGTAGTGTTAGTGAATGATAGTCAAATAGCTCCTTCTGAGTCTCTTATTGTGTCAGTTTTGCTTCTTTGACAGCCCATAGGTGGCATAACACGAAGAGCATGACTCAATCTACTGAAGCCACGAGTGAAAACGTGGAAAGTGGTATTGAGACACCATTATTATTCAGCGAGAAGAAGCTCGGAGTAGAATCGCCGTTCGATGATGACAGCATTTTAGGAGGGTAAGTGGCTGTTTGCCATAATGTATATCGGGCAGCACTATTGTTTTGCAGATATTCTGTCTTGACCAAGTCCATGATTGGTAGTGGTATGCTTGGCATGGCTTATGCAGGGTGTCAATGGGGTAACACGCTGTCGTATATGTTGTTCTTTGCGACTGTTTTTCCCTCGCAGGTTTTGTGATGGGTATTGTGGCTTGCCTAGTTACGGCTGGTATAACGTATTTTACGGTATACATTTTAGCCGTTATGGCCATGGAGTTTATATCCGCTTCTACAAGAGAGCTTTCCTTTTTCAATGTTGCCAAACTTGTATCTCCTAAAACTAGCTGGTAATATCCTGTCCCATCAATAGCTAAATACTTACCGTTGTTCAGGTTGATTGACCTGGGGATAGCTGTAAAGGCGTTTGGTGCCTCGGTTGCTTATATTCAAATAGTGGGAAGCCTGATGGCCGAGGTTGTACTTCAGGGTT